TCGGTGATTAACTACTGATAGACTAACTGATTCAATGACTGACGCACTGATTGACTGGCTCATTAATTGGCTCAATGGCTGACCCGTTGACTGACTCGGTGATTAACTACTGATAGACTAACTGATTCAATGACTGACGCACTGATTGACTGGCTCATTAATTGGCTCAATGGCTGACCCGTTGACTGACTCGGTGATTAACTACTGATAGACTAACTGATTCAATGACTGACGCACTGATTGACTGGCTCATTAATTGGCTCAATGGCTGACCCGTTGACTGACTCGGTGATTAACTACTGATAGACTAACTGATTCAATGACTGACGCACTGATTGACTGGCTCATTAATTGGCTCAATGGCTGACCCGTTGACTGACTCGGTGATTAACTACTGATAGACTAACTGATTCAATGACTGACGCACTGATTGACTGGCTCATTAATTGGCTCAATGGCTGACCCGTTGACTGACTCGGTGATTAACTACTGATAGACTAACTGATTCAATGACTGACGCACTGATTGACTGGCTCATTAATTGGCTCAATGGCTGACCCGTTGACTGACTCGGTGATTAACTACTGATAGACTAACTGATTCAATGACTGACGCACTGATTGACTGGCTCATTAATTGGCTCAATGGCTGACCCGTTGACTGACTCGGTGATTAACTACTGATAGACTAACTGATTCAATGACTGACGCACTGATTGACTGGCTCATTAATTGGCTCAATGGCTGACCCGTTGACTGACTCGGTGATTAACTACTGATAGACTAACTGATTCAATGACTGACGCACTGATTGACTGGCTCATTAATTGGCTCAATGGCTGACCCGTTGACTGACTCGGTGATTAACTACTGATAGACTAACTGATTCAATGACTGACGCACTGATTGACTGGCTCATTAATTGGCTCAATGGCTGACCCGTTGACTGACTCGGTGATTAACTACTGATAGACTAACTGATTCAATGACTGACGCACTGATTGACTGGCTCATTAATTGGCTCAATGGCTGACCCGTTGACTGACTCGGTGATTAACTACTGATAGACTAACTGATTCAATGACTGACGCACTGATTGACTGGCTCATTAATTGGCTCAATGGCTGACCCGTTGACTGACTCGGTGATTAACTACTGATAGACTAACTGATTCAATGACTGACGCACTGATTGACTGGCTCATTAATTGGCTCAATGGCTGACCCGTTGACTGACTCGGTGATTAACTACTGATAGACTAACTGATTCAATGACTGACGCACTGATTGACTGGCTCATTAATTGGCTCAATGGCTGACCCGTTGACTGACTCGGTGATTAACTACTGATAGACTAACTGATTCAATGACTGACGCACTGATTGACTGGCTCATTAATTGGCTCAATGGCTGACCCGTTGACTGACTCGGTGATTAACTACTGATAGACTAACTGATTCAATGACTGACGCACTGATTGACTGGCTCATTAATTGGCTCAATGGCTGACCCGTTGACTGACTCGGTGATTAACTACTGATAGACTAACTGATTCAATGACTGACGCACTGATTGACTGGCTCATTAATTGGCTCAATGGCTGACCCGTTGACTGACTCGGTGATTAACTACTGATAGACTAACTGATTCAATGACTGACGCACTGATTGACTGGCTCATTAATTGGCTCAATGGCTGACCCGTTGACTGACTCGGTGATTAACTACTGATAGACTAACTGATTCAATGACTGACGCACTGATTGACTGGCTCATTAATTGGCTCAATGGCTGACCCGTTGACTGACTCGGTGATTAACTACTGATAGACTAACTGATTCAATGACTGACGCACTGATTGACTGGCTCATTAATTGGCTCAATGGCTGACCCGTTGACTGACTCGGTGATTAACTACTGATAGACTAACTGATTCAATGACTGACGCACTGATTGACTGGCTCATTAATTGGCTCAATGGCTGACCCGTTGACTGACTCGGTGATTAACTACTGATAGACTAACTGATTCAATGACTGACGCACTGATTGACTGGCTCATTAATTGGCTCAATGGCTGACCCGTTGACTGACTCGGTGATTAACTACTGATAGACTAACTGATTCAATGACTGACGCACTGATTGACTGGCTCATTAATTGGCTCAATGGCTGACCCGTTGACTGACTCGGTGATTAACTACTGATAGACTAACTGATTCAATGACTGACGCACTGATTGACTGGCTCATTAATTGGCTCAATGGCTGACCCGTTGACTGACTCGGTGATTAACTACTGATAGACTAACTGATTCAATGACTGACGCACTGATTGACTGGCTCATTAATTGGCTCAATGGCTGACCCGTTGACTGACTCGGTGATTAACTACTGATAGACTAACTGATTCAATGACTGACGCACTGACTGACTGGCTGAATAACTTACTTGCGGGCCCGATTCCTGACGTAATGACCAGCTGAAAATCATTTTTGCCAATTTACAGGCTTCTTCCTGATATTAGTTATCCTCGCCTTGTTTGCGCTCATACGTCGGAGATACAAACAAAAGTGTGGATTTTCCGGCTACAAGAACACCACAAAAGACCAAAGCGAATTTGAACTTCAGCCTTGGATTGGCCGAAGTACGGGCTACTTGCTGGCTTTCGACAACCCTTACTATGACGTTCTTGCTGCTATGGGATTGGACGATGACGTAGAAGAGGATTATTATAATCCCCTTTACGATGATGTCAGTGTCTACAGTGACAGCGGCGAGAACACAAGTGAAGACAGTTGCCATAAAGATCTTAGCTCCATGGTGATAAGATAGGAACTGTAAACTTTAGGTTTCACACTTAAAGGGAAAGTGGTTTTGCGTCGTGGCCAAGTCCCTGTGACGTTTATTTGAGTTTCGCAGCTCAGCTTTGCTGGCAACACAACAGGGTATTAAACTTGCTAAAAAACGAAGGCCAGAGTTTCAAGCCAGTTATAAAAGGCTTGGAGAGCGACCACAATACAAATATTAAAAAAGCCGGAAAATATACGGGCTTAAAACGTTAAGAAAATATTTTGATGCACATTTGAAGTTAGTCGATTATTTTTTTAAGTTTACGGAGTTAATTTACATTTTTTACTTGAGTAGCAAATTATTATTAAATAGGTAAATTATTATTAATTTTTGGATACCTCGATGAGGCCTCAAAACAGAAGGGGTGAGTGAGTATCTTTTCACTTGAAGGTACAACTGTAAAATGGACTTTAAGTAAGTAAAAGAGTTCTGCTTAGAATGCTCATTTGCTCAGTTTGCAGTCTTATTTGAAGGTTCGAATCAATTTGCAAAGCTTGTTGGGGAAAACAGAGCCTTGTTAGTAATGTTTGAGAGAACAAAAGGCTGGCCGAGTACTTATAGTCTATTAGTTAGGCAATACTGAAGAAAATATTATCTTTTTGTTTCTTATTTGGACACTTTAAAAGGCCTTGCCGTTGTGTAAAAAAAGGATGTATAAAAATCGACTAATTTATATTATATTTAAACTACCTTTGTATCCAAACAGTGCTCAAAACTCGCTATTGCTAGTAAAGATAACGAAACTTGTGGCGTTGATACCTTGTATTAGTTTGTAAACATCTCGCACAAAACCAAAGCCGACGTCAAACCCAAACGGTGAAAACTAATACTATTTTTCAATCCAAAAAGGACCAAATCATCCTCGTTCCTGGGGCTTTTCCCTTGAAAATTGGGAAATGGCAGGACCCCGCCTCCGTCCCAGATACGCACAAATATGCCCTGTGCAAAAGATGTGCACAAGTGCGAGATTGTGATGTCGTTTGGCACTAGAGCTGTGTAGTTCGAGCGGCAACCATACATTGCATCAATGATTGCCGATTGATTACTACCTTTTTCTGATATGGATTTCGCTGTAAAAGAATGAGCAGTGTTTCGAGAGGTGTAACTGTCTTGAGTGAACTTGCACTTTCTACGCGCGTCCCTCATGCGTTCTCGCCAAACGCTATCACCGGTTTTACCTTTCATGCACATGTATCTAATGAAATAACCACTTAAAGGGTAACTTTCACAACAATTCCTGCAGCGTTTCTGTGGATGATGGAAATAGTTGCTTTAGTTGTTGATATTGCTTTTTTTACTGTTGACTCAAGGATGCAGGTTCTTTACTTTATAACGCTTATCCCTGGCGAGCTACATGCGCACGGTCACGTGGCCAGCCAGTGTAGACGTTTTCCGATCCTTCAGCGTTTTCTTCATGGCGGAAGGTCAAAAATAATTTATAAAAACACAAAACGTGTAAGCTGACCACAATAACTTTATTTAATTCACAGAATAAGAGACCCCTTTCTGTAGCCACGCTAATAGCGGTTACAATCCTACATGAACGAATACATGGGTACTGCATATCTATTTGTATATATTACAAAGTTGTACATAAAATATACACCCATTAAAGAAACCATGATTTTACAGAAGTGACATAATACCAGTCAGGAAGTTTTCACACTAACAGATGTAGTTACGAATGAATTCACTCAAGTTTAAGTTTAATACAAAACGCTTTTGAGAACACTTGAGGGGCGTTCATTATAAATCAGAACCGCTTCTTCACTTAAAACAATTCTGAAGTCAGGCGTCTCCCTCCATAAATGTACACGTTTTCACTGGCTTCTCTTTAAAAGTTCAAAATGTCTTCTGCAAAGTCGAGATCTTCACCACTGGCCTGAGACACTGTGCGGTCAGAGGTGAAGTAACCGTTCAGTAAAGATAGTTGTTCCTCGATGTCCTCCGGAATGCTCATGTCACTAAAAGCAAACAAACAAACAGCAACAACAAAAATGAGCAAAGGAAATGACAAACCAGTTTGGACGTAAAATTCTCAAATTTGATGCCGTGAGTTGTTCGACAGGAACTGAGAAGGGATTTAAAATTATTTGTAAAAAAAAAAAGACAAAAAAAGTGACAATAACAACCTGGTGTGGAAGTCATCCTCATAATCGTCATTGTAATCAGCTGCTTGACCATTTTTGTCGTCATCTGGAATATCTTAATAATATAACATGTACGAAATGAGAGCGAGACAGAGAGTGACATTAGCAGTGGACATAACTTGTTTACCTCCTGACAAAGGAAGTAAGTGTTTCATTTCTAAGAAAAACTGTTGTTCTATTTTTATAATTTGCCCTTCGTTGACTGTGTGCAGCAAGTAAATTCAAGTGGATATGATGCACGCACGAGCGATATACCCAACAGCCTTGGACCAGTTGTTCGAATGGTGAGTAACGCTGTCGCGCTGGACAAGTCTCTCTGCAGTGGATACCGCTGTACGTTTTGTTAACACTAATCCGCCGGATAGCGATTTATCCGCTGCAAAGCGTTATCGGCCCTTTCAACAGCTGGGCCCAAGTGGTTTGTTTAAAGCTCTAACTTTGCTAGACTTTTGATTCGTTTTGATCTTGAATTGTTTTCACGTAGATGCCAAAAGAAGCCGGCGTTGTGTTTTTCTAGAAAGAATCTAACATGATTGCTAATCACAGTTGTAATAAGGGAGATGCTGAGGGAAGAAGCTCTTTTAATATCTAGGCCTCTCGGCGATTCTCTTACCGAAACCGAGTTTGCTGATCTTGTTGTCAATGTCGGCAAGGTCCTGCCAGTTAGGTGATTTTGAGGCCTCTTCAAAGGAAAAAAAAGTTATAAAGTAAATGCGTTGGAAGAATTAAAAATGTAAACTTACTAATGTATCCCGAATTTTGATCACTCTACTTCCATGAAAAAGCTTTACAAAAAAACAAACAAACAAACAAAAAAACAAAACAAAAAAAAAACCGAGCAAGTCAGTTTTTCGGACAAGAGAAACTGTTCAAGAAGAACTTGTCATATTTACCAACAACAAGACAAACTGAAGGACACCTTTAAAAGCGTTAACTAGTAAGGAGGATTCCCTGTCGTGAATCCAGATTTATCACAAGACTCCATCGCTCACCTCTGTTATTGTTATTCATTCCAGGTAATGGTGGTGCACCCTTTAATGAGCCAAGTCCACTACTGCCCAGGGATGGAGCACCCTTCAGAGAGGAGAGTCCACCAGTCGATTTGGATCCTTAGAAAAAAAAACAATCATGAGAACTAGGCAGATGACAGGTTTTGTGCTCAGTAAGAAAACAATTTTTTTTCCAACAAAAAATGCCATGTTTGAACAATACCTGTTTCTTTCATTAACCCTTGTTTCTCGCTCTCTCTACAAGAAAAATGTGCACCGATTTCACGACAAACAAATGAGGAACTATACTCATAAAAAGTGAATGACTGGCCCACCTCAATTAGTTTGCCTACTTGTGGGCCAGTCCAGTCTAATAATGTGTAGTAGAAGAGACAAATAAAGTTTGTTTTTGTTAAATGTAGACTTGGGTTGCCAACTGACTCACTGCAAACTCACTTTGTCTTCAGTGGAATATCTGCAAAAATATCATCTCCATCATCACTTGCAATGGTTACATCTGGGCTTCTATATTGAAAGCGCACGTTAAATATTAAACAGTTACTAAATTGTAATAACCAGGAAATTAAAAATGCAAATTTGGAAATGTGTTATAGTTACTTCAAGAAGCTCTAACTGAAAAAACAAACAACAATACCAGGTGATGAAGTTTTTGCAAAATCACCACTTAAAATATCTGTTTTGGGTCTTACGAGCAGTTTCAATAAAGGAAAAATCAGCAAAATGATTGTTGACAGTTGAAATATTAAACCTACAGAATTATCCCTTAGACATTACTTTAGCCATTACCTATACATAAACTAGGGTGTGTTACACATAATATTATAAATACCTGTTTCCACTTTTGTCCCTTCTTGAGTCTGACAGAGAATTTAGCTCCTTGTCAGAGTTCAGTTTTTCAAGCAATGAGTCTTGGTTTTTGTCAGATTTGCTGGATTTCTCATCTCGCACTCGCTGTGGAATTTTGCTTGGTCTGGGACTGGAAATCTGGTGAGAAAAAAGAAACAATCAAACTGAAAAAGGAATGATCTTCAAATGACAAAAAAGGGGAGTTGAAAGATCTGCAAGCAAAGAGCTAGTTTATAAAATTTGAATCTGAATCACAAGCCTGGATTCAATGTCAACAAGGATTCATGAAAATTTAGTTGTTGGTAAACTTTGAGTTTCTACCAAGTAATACAACTTAAAATATGTGCAGCATTGAAAGTGAAAGATGTATTCCTACACTAGTCTTGAAGAGATGTAAACACACACAAAAAGAAACCGCTGCAGACACACTAACGACAGTTTTGCATAATTTTGATAGCATCTACCTGGCCAGAGAACTGTACTAAATGTATGTTTAAGAGGAGATGAAGTAAAGACAAGGAAAAGGGACCCTTATTATCATTATCATTATTATTATATTTGTAATGTCCATTGCTCATTATGAAATCCTTTTACATAGTCAGATACTTAAATATATATTAAGTGTGAAGGTTAACATCACGGCATTTAAATTTTTATTTGTGCTAAATGAAGGTGCAATTTACTGTTAACTTTTAAATGATCAATTAATATTATCTATGCAAATACTTATAATCTGGTAGTTCTATTTGGATTACCAGTAGTTAGTTGTAACAATTGTTGTTAGGTGCCTTGTTATGTTAGTTTTATTCTTGAATTGTCTTAAATAGCATGTATTTAAGAATAACCACTTTTAAAATTCATGTTTTAAGACCTTGAGTTAATGGGAATTTCCCAATTCGTAATAATAATAATAATGTTAACATCAATCATGATAAATTTTTACTCTCTTAAGATTTGTAGCTTGAATGAACTTTTGTTTTCAAAATTACGGCATTCATTTTACCATACTATCATCACTCTCATTGTCCAAAGAAACTTCTCCCTGGTCATCTTCATCACCCTTTAACAAAAAATGCTCTTAGTGTTAAATATTTCATCAAGTTTAATCAACTGGCAGATTACATTTTAAGAAAGTATCATTCTGCAAAAGGGAAAAGAAGAGTTGACTTGGCTCACAAATCAAGCACTGTGAGTATTATCATTTTTGTTATCACATTGATTTCATATTCAGATATATTTAGCTGTTTTATAATATCTAGTGCCACTTAACTATGGAAATTACAGTGTAGTTTCTGACTGACCATTTTTTTCCACTTTGAGAAAGAAGATTTTGGGTGTGCATTTTAAGGCTTGCCTTGTTAGTGTAATAGCCACTGCTCTTATCTGGCAAACTACAAGCTTCCCCTTAAAGTTCACTGAAACCCATAGACACTCCTGACTAAAGAGCAGCACTGTCAGAGAATCTGGATCAAGAGCAATAAAACACAGTCTAAACTCAGACCTATTAATTTGGTGGCTAGTGCACTACCAATATCATGACAAAAACCCAAAAATCCCAACCAAAAACCAAACCCACTACATCTACAATCAATGATCAGTATGTCAAACTTTAGATTACCATCAAGTTATACCTTATTTGAGTTAGGGGGACTGATGCTTCTTGGGCTGTTAGCTGCACTGTGCCTTGGTGAAGTTTTGACCTCTCCATTGGTGACTGGTGAAAGTCTCTTTAAGACTTCTGCCAACAGTGGGCTTCCAGATGTGTTATCAACATCATTCAGCTTCAGTTCTCTGGCAAGGTTGTTTCTACCTGGATACTTGTCACTCTAAAGACAAAATAAATAATGTGATATGGTATCTCACTTGATGGTAAACTGAATGCTTTGTCTGGATTGAAGCACTGTGTAGATTATAGCCTCTTCCAGTTGTACAGTTGTTAAAATGGAGTGAAATACTATTGTGCTTCACTTTGCTTTAAACTGGACCTCTGAAACAGGCCATGCAGATTACTCCAAATTGGACATTTGAGGATGATTATACCCTAAGGCTGACCGGTTCCTAAAGTTTACACAACTTATACACAGAGTTGCAAGTTACACCTAGGGAGTTTCTCTTAATCCTATTTGCTCTTCACTCCATGACAATTGCTCATTATTGGAGATAAAAGTACAAAACTTGAATTTGCAAATGGCATTCAAGAATATTTATACTATCTTTGACTTACAAAATTAGTCTCTGGATCAAAAACTGCAATAGAGAAATCAAGATCAAAGTACTCCAGAAATTCTCTGACTAAACCTGTCACAAGCCGTCCTATAGGACAAAAAGGAAAGAACAAGTTATCACAAAGATGTCTTTTAAGAAGACTGAGTATTTTCAAATGTACTTTAAAATACAAAAAAGCCAATTTTAGTTACCTTCACTTGTATTTAAAAACTTCTTCAGTTCGGGGTTTACAAGTTGAATTTTACCCTAAAAAAAGACAACATGTTTCAAGGGTTTCTTTCAACTACACTGTTTAGAATTATACAAAGGATTCTTTGTCAAACATCAATACTCCTTTCTCTATGGGCAAACAATTCTTTAACATTCTGTCACATTTATTTTAGGATTGAAACATGAAGCAATGATCTGCCTTCTGTCACCTTGGGGATCTTAAATTCTTTGTTTTTTTTTTCAAAGAAAGACATACATAAAGACAGACAAGGGAAACAAATGAGGGTCATGATCCCATTTCACATACAAATTTTATGCATCCTGTGTAGTAAATAGTATATGAAATGTCATAAATTTATGAGGAAAAACTTCATCTCTCACTTTAAAAATTTACTCATCCCATATTAATTGGGCTTAAGTGTAAACCCTGTGCCACCTTCACAGACAGACACACAGACAGAACGCGTAAAGCCTTGACTGCAGTTTAAGCACCACATAGAATCAATATTACAATAATAAATTAGCATACATACCTATGATGCACGATCCTCGCAGTAGATAGCACTATTTAAGCAATAGCGAAAATCAGACCTGAAAAAAATTCTTTTCAGGTCTGATTTTTCACAGGTCTGATTTTTTTCAGGTCTGATTTTCGCTATTGCTTAAATAGCACTATCTACTGCGAGGATCGTGCATCATACCTATCTAATACCGCAGTTCAAAATATATGATCTTCATATATTCATTGTATCTAATTTATCACTTTCACGGGTTTATTGCGAATCAACTTAACGACCTGCTCCCAGTTGGCTTGTTAGCTCAATTGGTAGAGCGCTGCACTAGTATCGCAGAGGTCAGTGGTTCAAGTCCCATACAGGCCTGATTTTTTTCAGGTTTGATTTTCACTATTGCTTAAATAGCACTATCTACTGCGAGGATCGTGCATCATACCTATCTAATACCGCAGTTCAAAATATATGATCTTCATATATTCATTGTATCTAATTTATCACTTTCACGGGTTTATTGCGAATCAACTTAACGACCTGCTCCCAGTTGGCTTGTTAGCTCAATTGGTAGAGCGCTGCACTAGTATCGCAGAGGTCAGTGGTTCAAGTCCCATACAGGCCTGATTTTTTTCAGGTTTGATTTTCACTATTGCTTAAATAGCGCTATCTACTGCAAGGATCGTGCATCATACATATCTAATACCGCAGTTCAAAATATATGATCTTCATATATTCATTGTATCTCAAATTAGCATACAGTACATCACTGTGCAGTGTATATTGTGTATATTACATAAACCAACCTCTGATCCATCCTGTTCTTCCAAAGCTAAAAACACACTTGCTCTGAGCTGAGCCTGTCAAAAGAAATGACTGTCACAGTAACTTTACTCGCTATAAACATTCTACTTCCCAGCTTGAAATGCTTGAAAATGCAGAACAGGGATTTCTTAAGAGATCTTTATATATCAACAAACTGTCTGGCTTTCAATGTAGCTCATTAATCAAGACGAACAAACAATATTACCGCACATTAAACTACAACCAATGTGATACACTAAACTAACAGATCACGATGGTCCAGATTGCATTTTTGATTCATCGAGAAAGCTAGCAAAGTAGATAAGTGCGTTTTACAAAGAAGAGGAACAAATTAATTCGCTAAATTCAGCTAAAAGCTCACTAAAGAATTTGATCTCTCAACTTAAAGATTTTCTCTAAACAATGGAAAATTAAACCGCACGCTGAAGTGTTCATTTATTTCTCAATCAGTTTGCTTGATGCGGGGTAAAGGCGCTAGCGGAAATTGAGATAAAAGTCAACTAAAGTAAAACAAACTTTAGATTATTAGAAAGTTTACCGGTAAAATCGAATGAGTGCAAAAGATACTAAAGCTTATTTCTTTAGGTAGCACGATACTAGCGACCACAAAGAGAAACAATCACCGTCTCATTCTCATAAAAAACAACAAATAACATTTTAAACAAAAAAAATGTTATTCTTTCGGTATTTTGGGCACTCGCGTCAAATAAAAAAAACGGTCCGCAACTTTACTCCTGGGGAAGAAAAGATCAATTGTTGGTGAACAATTTAGAAAAACGTCCTTCTTCCTTTAAAATTTTAGATTAACTTACCCTGATTTTTCCCAAAACACCCTTACTTTCCAATGTCTGGGCGACCATGTCCCTCAATTCTGTGTCTTCCTCCGCGGACATTTTGAATATTTTCGCGTCTCCAATCTCCAACCGAGTGTTATCGGATTCCGAACATATAGCGGAGGTTTATCGTGTAAGGTAAGACCCGGATGCCCGCCAAATTTGTGGCTCACGTGTGTAATTTATTTTGGTTCACCGCCATATTCCAAGTCATTGGCAATCATGGCTGTACAGCCATGCCAGCAGTTTTCGCTAGGTAATGACGATTGAAGAATAGTTTACCTTAATTTGTCGATTGTGTATACGTGACAGATATTTTTGTCCGTAAATTTGCAGACGGAGCGGCAGAACAGGGATTTCTTGCATTCTATCGTTCATTGCCCGAGGTATGTTCTTCCCAAGGCCTTCCTGGGTGATATATGACATGGTGTATCATTAATTCACTCCTAGCTAGTGTAATTTTGTACGATCTTTTTCTCTTTTAGAAACCTGAAACAACTTTCCGTGTGTTCGATCGTTCGGTAAGTATGCATGTGGCACCGACGTGTGTTCGCTCGTTCACGATGTTGATCTTTGAGGTTTACTGGTGTAATCACAATTTTAAACCAGATGTGGTTAAATCAAAAAATCAACAATCAGTGTATTGTACAAGTTGTACCTGCTGGCACACGCGACAGAGATGGGGGGAGAAGAGATTGGGCATGGGGTATATAAATATAATTATTGAAAACTGGACCATTGGATAATGCATTTCAAGACTTTATTGGCTTAACCATAATGGTATATGAGCCAATGTACCATAATCTAATATCTGTACATGGTAACATCCGGTTTCTTCTTACAAAATAAAGTCTAATATCCAGGGGGCGTTTTTTTTAATAAAACAATTATTCCACTCATGCATGTTGGATATGAGATGATTATGGCCAACAAGGCGCTATGCACCTTGCTGGCTATCTATCATCTCATATCCAATGCGCACTCGTGGAATAATTGTTAAATATTAATTCAGTATGTAGGAGGACTTTTTTAAACCAAATAGGAAGGGTGATTATCCCTCCCAGCCCTACTCCTTCAACCACCAAATCAAAAATTCCACCCATGAACTGTGCTTCTTAGTTTGTCTTTTGATCTCCTTTACGATTACATAAGTTTTACATGCATGGTAAAGTTAAGAGAGTCACTGTTTGAGTTTCACCCTGGGAAATCACTGTGCTTAATTTTTTTTTGAGAGAACATTGTCCCCTCCAATGATATCTTTTTGTTTTGTTATGTTCTGTGCTCACCTCTTCATAATCCCTCCAATACTCTGTCTTTTCCTCTTCCACAACAGGACTACTATACTGTTCATGGTGCTGATGCAGCATTTGCTGCCAAAGAAGTCTTCAAGACAACAAGTGTTATTAAATATCTTGGGATTGGTATGTTGAGGTGTAATAAATAATCTAACAGACTGCATATCTTCAGTACCTTCTTTAAAACAATGATAATTATTTGCTATAATATGTTAAAAGCAACCTTTTTTGCATACACTTATCAGGTGAAAAGAAGGTTCCATCAGTTATTTTGAGTAAAATGAATTTTGAGAGCACAGTTCGGGATCTGTTGCTTGTACGTCAGTACAGAGTGGAAATGTACAGAGCAATCAAAGGTGCAAAGAATACTTCAGCCTGGGAACTTGTTGCCAAGGTACAAGCTGAGAAGAATTAGTCAACAATTAAAACAGAAATTAGTAATGAATGGATTGGTGAAGTGTTACTTAAATCCTGCTATCAGCATTTTTACCTTAAATCCCCAATATGTTATCTTAACCTTTCAACCCATGAGAGAGACGATAATAGCATCCCCCCCCCCTCCCTGAATCAAATATAAAGGTCTAGAGAACAAGGGAAATGTTCTGACTAACTAAAGAAGCTCTTGATTGTTAAACAAGTACTCCTTGTCAGCACCTTAGGAAATGTATGGAGAAAATGCACACTCATGTTAGGGTGTAATGCACCGATCACTTCAAAGCTTCAACATCACCCCCCCCCCCCTCCCTGGCAACCCACAGGCATTTGACTTTCATCTGTGCCTGTGGGTGGGAATTTGAACCTTGTCTGGCTGGGTCTGGGAATTTGAACTGGAAGTGTCAAGTCTTTCCAGCGGAACACAAGTGTTGTATCTCTAAAATCGAATATTCAGGTGTTTATTTGTAAACAATTCAATTTATTTTGTAAGCAAAATAATGGCTCAGGAGAAAAGGTTAACAAGGTCTAGGTCTCAAAGCTTGATCAATGTATAGAAAGTCACAGTCACTGATTTTTCCTGAACCAAAAAGACTGACCATCAAATTTGGTACTAGAGTAGGGCATTTAAGCACAATTTTTGTTCCAGGGGGCAGGAATTTTAACAAACCAATTTTCAAAAGTTTAATCACCTGAGAAGTTGCTCATAGGGGGGAGTGGGAGAGGGCTATTGAAGCTTTGAATTGATTGACACACTAAGGGTTAACTTTTACTGGTTTTGCTTGTCTAATTAAAAAAAAAACTACGTGATGTTTATCTCATTATTTGATTTTGATGTACTGGTATTTTTTATAAATTTAATTTAGGCATCACCTGGTAATTTACAACAATTTGAAGACATTCTCTTTGGAAGCAATGACATGTCTGTATCAGCAGTTGTCATGGCAATCAAGCTTGGTATGGAGAATGGCCAAAGGGTATGGTTGCTTAAAAATTGATTACAAGGTATACAGCAAAGTGACAAGTATGTTTGGGTGTTGGGAAGGAGATCTAACAATGAAAGAATGAAAGCCTTTATTTAAAGAGGGTAGCACTTAATAGCCAGAGGCTTATAAACTTGTGGCCCTCACAGATTACACAACTATATACAATCAGATAAATATGTAAGCTAAAATATGTCAACAATATGTAAAAATATGTAAACAACAAGGGCAAAAGACAGCAACAAAAGTGAAAGTCACAGCATCAAGAAAACCAAAAGTCTTGATGTTTGATTAACCTTTCCTTTTCTACAGGTGGTAGGTGCTTCATATGCTGATGCTGCGGCAAGGAAGCTCGGAGTCTGTGAATTTGTAGATAATGATCAATTTTCTAATCTGGAGGTAAAATGAATTTAAAGTAGGAATTTTAGGATTCCCAAGTTTCACCACATCTCGTCCGCCTTATATAATCTTCACTGGCTTCCTGTGGCTTATCGCGTCCATTTTAAGTTGTTACTTTTAATTTATAAAGCTTTAAATAACCAAGGCCCACTATACATAAAAGAATATCTGCAGCCACACAGTGTCAAGGGTCATCAGCTACGTTCCTGCGATCAGGGTCTCCTTAAGGTCCCAAGAACTAACTTTAAGACCTTTGGTGATCGTGCCTTTGCCCGTTCTGGACCTTTTTTGTGGAACGAACTGCCGCTTGAAATTCGAAACAGTCCAAGTGTAACGATTTTTAAGTCAAAGCTTAAGACACATCTATTCAGGCTGGCTTACAGTTTGTTTTGATATTTTGTCGTTTATCATTTTAATATTTGTAGTTAATAATGTTGTAAAGCGCTTTAGAATATTTTATAATTTTAGCGCTTTAGAAATGTAAATTATTATTATTATATTTCCATGTTAGTCATAATACAAGAAGATTGAGAGGGGTGTATTCATTTAAGAATTATTTCTCAGGCTTTGCTTGTGCAGCTTGGACCAAAGGAATGTTTACTGCCACAAAATGATACAAGTGCTGATGCAGCCAAAGTATTGGAGGTGATTCAACGAAGCAACATTCTCATAACTGACAGGAAGAAATGTAAGATTTAGTTTGAAATTGTGGCAAATAGCGGGGTTCTAGTAACTTTTTTTTGATAAGGGGCTGTCATAAGTATACGGGTGATATACTGTTGAACCTGGAATTGGAGGCCCTAAGTAATGCAAAACTGGAACACAAGAGAGACTGCGTGTAAACAAAACAGACAGGTGTTAGAGGTCTAATAGACAGCAGCATTAAATATTATGAACCCCTGATGCAGTCTGATTTATTGAAGACCTTGTGTATCAGTTTCTAGTCCAGAGTGAATAGGGGTTTATCTTGTGGGTTAATTGTCACTTGGTGGTCCAGGCTCAAGTCCTCCCTCCCTGCTACCCACTGCATTTGTTCTTGGTCGCCCTGAGTTCAACTCCCGTGCTGCGCTGTGTAAATAGCCAACTGGTCTGCCTCCTGCCAGTTGGGATTTTAAAACACTTGATGTTTATTTGTAAATATCTCTTTGTTTGTTTGTTTGTTTCCAACAATGTTCAAAAAATGAAAGTCATGTGAATGAGGGTACCTTGAGAACAGTGGAGGTAGTTTTGGGAATTCTTAGGATGCCAATGGGAATTTTAGCAGGTTCTCGACAAAAATCTCCCTGTTACCAGGGTTAAAATATTTTCCTTTCCACTCAAAAAAAAGGGCCGGTAAATAGTTGTAGTAAACTTGTTCATAAGGAATAGACCACTTTCATAAATGGTTGCCTGGGCAATATTCTTTCGTTTAAATTTAAATTAGCCCTTCTGGCCTCGCTTGAGATAATGTATTCTTTTGAATTTTGTAATGGAGAACGAGGCCAGAAGGGCTAATTTAAATTTAAACAAAAGAATATTAATCCGGCAGCCATTTATGAAAGTGGTCTGTTGTGCATTATTTACCCAAGTTAATTAATAGCACCTATTATTATCCAACCATGCTTCATAGAGTACAAATCATGCCCAAAATGAATACAAATATCTTGTAGTATATGCACTCCAGAGAACCGGTTAGACAGGTTTTCTTGCATTACGCAAGTGACAAATCTGTTGCACACTCCTTGTAAATAGATATCCACGAAATTTGCCCACAGTGATATAACAATTTGGCAAGTTGGATAATAAATCTCTTATTAAATGTTTTGTTGTGAAGTATGGCTGAGTATTTTTACTTGCTGTTTATATTTTGAGTTGCCGTAGGAGCTCTTCAAAATATGACTCAACTTGTAAAAATACTCAGCGATGCTACACAACAAAATGTTTAATAAGATAATATGTATTTAGGTCAGGATGACTTAACTGTGTGCATTAAGTTGCACTTTCTGGTGATCTTTCTTCCTCTTTCTAGCTGAGTTTTCCAACAAAGACATAGTACAGGATCTCAACAGGCTTTTGAAGTTAGGAGCTAGTGGAAATAGTGGAACTTTGGGTATGTCTTTCGTTATTGAATTTATAAAAAACATATCTGGAGGAAATACACAGAAATGCATCTGGATCTGATGGCCTGAATGCTGCTTTGGCTAATAGCTCTCTTAGTTTACAAACTGTTCAAATTTATTCATATCATTTAAAATTTTGAATGTGTCATCTCCTTTCTACAGCAGAAATAGACTTGACACATGCGACATCTGCTCTAGCTGCTTTGATCAAGTACTTAGAGGTAACTCACCGATGTAAATCCTTGCTGCAGGAGACATTTTTGATTGTCATGTTGGCTGTTATACATGCATCTATAATGTACCTGAAGTTCTCTTTTAAATCCTATTCACCTGGATGTATATTCATGTGATTATTATTTCAAAGTTGTGGTTACTTAGAATCTTGAAGACCTGTGTGAAATACATTAATGCAAATGTTTTTATCTCGTCAACCTTTTATATCACCCCAGATTAAAAATGAGTACAAAGTTGAAATTGTGTTTACAAGTTTAATGTATAATCATCTCTGCTTTTTTCACTGCATAGGAAAATTTAGTTTTTAGAAGTTGCTACAACTATTTATTCAGACTTACCGGTAATTGGTATTATTAATTGCAGCTTCTTGCAGATGAGTCAAACTTCAGCCAGTTTTATCTGAGTACATTTGATCTAACACAGTTCATGAAGCTTGATGCAGCAGCTGTGAGAGCTCTCAATCTTCTTCCAAACCCATTAGATGGTATAGTAAACTATAACTTTGTATATTTTTGTTGTCATAAAAGCGGACTGTAATAGACCTCGTTTAAAAGGTTTTAATCTTCAAAAAACCTTGTGCCTTTAAAACATGGCGACTCGATAAAAGTCTCCACTGACAAGTCTGGATAAACGTCAACAATAGAAATGCAAATTAAGACTAACAGTGTAGTGTAGTGTATGCGGTTGGTTCTCGTAAGCATGCACACGTGTGCGCATTATGTATTCCATGTGCTTTAAAAATAAAAACCGAATACATGACAAACAGTATCCCAAATTAACAACAACAATAGCAATGTAAATTAAGCCTATCCTCAATATTTGTATGGGCGTTTGATATTGGAGTGGCAATCATTCAGTTAGATATGGAACTTTCTTCACATGGCAGCTTATAGTTTATAAATGGCATTCATGCAGCTTAAGTTCCCTTGTGGCATCCTACCATTAACTATGGTGAGTGGACAGAGCTAATAATGAAATGCTCATGTCAGAGGGTGTGTGGTNTTTTTGGGGGGGGGGGGGGAGTTTGAGACTGGATTTCTACTGATAGCATGTTGCGTTGAACTTTTGGAAACTTTTAAATTCTTAAGGACTTTAGGGGGACAAGAGACTGGCTTACAGGCGAGGTGTTGTAGTGTATGCGGTTGGTTCTCGTAAGCATGCGCACGTGTGCGCATTATGTATTCCATGTGCTTTAAAAATAAAAACCGAATACATGACAAACAGTATCCCAAATTAACAACAACAATAGCAATGTAAATTAAGCCTATCCTCAATATTTGTATGGGCGTTTGATATTGGAGTGGCAATCATTCAGTTAGATATGGAACTTTCTTCACATGGCAGCTTATAGTTTATAAATGGCATTCATGCAGCTTAAGTTCCCTTGTGGCATCCTACCATTAACTATGGTGAGTGGACAGAGCTAATAATGAAATGCTCATGTCAGAGGGTGTGTGGTCAATAACGCGGGCTCAAGTGTCCTAGGTCTAAAATTTAGCAAAATTAGTGGAAAATAATAAGGGCTGACTTTTAAAACCGAAGAAATCTGTTTTCATCGAAGGCATTTTCCTACTTCCAGAGGTTTTAAGGAGAAAACTAATTTTTGAACATTTTTGGGAGGTGTACCAAGTTTTTGGAGGTTGTTCTGTAAAAGAAAAGCAGTAAGGAAAACACACCTCAAAGCAACAGAAGAGGAAATCAACCATGCAAACAACTTGAAATCTGTGTTTCTGTGGCAAAACCTAGTGCATGCGTATACATCATTCAGCTCTGTCAGATGAGTGACCAAGTAAGAATTTCTCCTTACAATGTCAATTCAATATTAAGCAGACAAGTGATGAGAATATAGAAAAATGTCATTTGGGGGATTATTAGTTGATCTAATAGAAAATTCCCTGAATTAACATTATTGTGATGTTAATTTTTGTGCTATAGGTAATAAATTTATTTTTAATTATTATCAAAATTGTTTGGAAGACAGTAAAGAGAATTACTAATGAGATCTTGGGAGTGAAAAGTCTAATTGGCTCCGCATATGGCATTTGTACAATGAAGTAAAAAGTGCTGTTTGGCCGGTTAGAATATTATGTTTTGTGGGGCCACAATTCTACACTCTCATTTGACCTGATTCTATTCTGGTATAATTATATATAGGCTTAATCATGTAAGCATTTATTTTATCTCATATTTGTAACACACTTATTTCATGTTCTTCCATTCCAGGAGGCAATAAAAGTATGTGTCTTGTTGGTTTGTTGAATAAGGCCAAGACAGCACAGGGACAGAGATTAATAGCCCAGTGGATCAAACAACCTTTGATGGATAAAAACAAAATAGGCAAGTTTACAAATAACTGCAGTCTTGCAGCACTGAGGTACCAGTGAAGCATGGTTATTAGGACAGTTTCTATTATTATTGCCAACATTTTCAATAATTTTTCATTTTCATTATACAGAAGAGAGACTCAATATTGTTGAAGTTTTCTTTGAAGACACAGAACTTAGACAAACCATTCAGGTGTGTACATTTGTGGTGATTCATGGAAAGCTTGTGAGTTACATTGTTATGTACATGTTGAGAAGGAGGTAGGAAACATTTCAGATCTTGTGTGGACCACTGACAGTCAAACAAAGCCAGGAGTTAGTATATAACAGAAACAAGTTGCCTATATACCCAATTTGACAAATTCTTCAACCTCACTGAACCAAACTAATATTAAGTTAACAAAAGAGTGCCCTATTGACCTAGTTTTAAAAGTTCTTTTATCAAGTATGAACCCTTTTACTCTCTAAGAGCAACTAGCATCAAATTTCTCTTGACAATATCAGCCTTGAATAACAAATAAAGGTCATGAAAATATAGAAAATGATCACCAACTATAAAAGAAGCATTTGATTGTTATGCACAAATTCTCCTCGTCAGCACCTTAGGAAATGTATAGAGAACAGTAAGGAGAATATGCATACTGATGTTGGGGTGTATAAGGAGTTAAGTCTTTCATTCTAAAATCAATAATTGACCTGTCCAATGAAGATGTTTTGTATGCTACTTGAGCCCTCCAATGCCAATGATGTGCTTTTATTTTTACAGGAAGAGTTGCGAAAAATTCCAGATTTTTCAAGACTAGCCAAGAAATTCCAGCGACAGAAAGCAAGTTTACAGGTAACTTTTACTATTGAAAATATTTGACTAAGTATGCAAAGAAAGGAAATGTTTAGAGGGCTCATTCTCAACTCATATTATTTAAAAAAATTAAGATAGCGTCCCTGGTTTGTGAAGTCATGGATTTGAATAGTTTGGTGTACTTGAAGTCAATGTGACAAAAATTGAGATGTTTTTGATCTGCATCACTTTGTTTCCTTTTCTGTCACTTACTAGGACTGTGTGAGGGTCTACCAAGCTCTTCACAGACTTCCTACTTTCACTGGTATTCTTACTGGCTATCAGGGAAGCCACCATGAACTTATAAGCGACTGCTTTACAATGCCCATAAAGGTGATTCAGTAAATGCTTTTTTTTTTTATTTTTAACCCTTTGACTTTTAATATGTAGTGACTAGCATCTGATTTCTCCTTACAATATATGTTACCCCAGAATCACACATTAAGGTCACACAAATGAAGGAAATTATTACCAACTGAAGATCGTGATTAATAAACAAATTCTCCTTGTCAGCACCTTAGGAATTGTATGGAGAACTGTATGAAGAATTTGCATATCACTGTTTGGGTGTTAAGAGTAATAATATTCAACTGCCTCCCAGTTAGTTCACTTGGTTAGAGTGCCTGATTGTGTTGTGCGGGAGGTCGAGGGTTGGAGCCCCCGGCGGGACCAATACTCATGGTCTTAAAATAACTGAGGAGAATTTGCTACCTTTCTATAATATCAAGAAATGGATAGATATTGTAGTCTTCTCGGATAAGGACGAATAAACCGTAGGTCCCGTCTCCTGCAGGGGTAGGAGTAGGAGACATTAATTTCCCATGCACGAGATTACTGTGTGGTGGATTTCCTCCCCTGGGGTGGGATGGGTGGGATGGGTG